AAGTAAATATCATAATGTATTAATTTTGTATTACTTACTGATTGTTATAGTGTTGCTTTGAGCTGTAACTCCATTTTGATAGTACAAGGTAGCATTAGTATTGAGTGTCTTATTTGATGGAAATTGAACAACAAGTGAAATGTTATTATAAGAACTATTACTTATGGATACATTTGTTATTGAATAACAGTTATCCTTAGTACATCCTTTCAATGTAATGTTCATTAGTGGTGGTACATTAGTACAAAACTGATGAACCTAAAAAGAATGCATAGCCATGTTGTTTTAAGCAAGTAATCACAACCAGTAAACACACCATGGGATATCATTATTAAGTACAATATAGACTATACATTATAATACATGGTACATTCATTACACATTACCTATAATACATTATAATACTATAGTCTGTCTATCATCATTTAACACTACTATTCACTATTACTATAAAGTTATCATAGCTGGCTATCATTAATCCTATTAGGGAACTTACAGATACAATGAAATGAAAAGTCCAATTTACATTCCCTCTTTCCTTATCAGTTACATATAACTCTACATCTACTGTATAGAATAATCACTTTAGGCTCTCAATAAGTATAATTACTTACTTGTTGATTGAAATCCAACAGTTATGTTACTAGTAGATCCATTCCCAGCTTTATTAGTAGTTGTAATGTTAAACAGATATTGTTTATTGGTTGGGTTCATTGGACAGTAAGTGTAGTTAGTGATAGAGTCATTAAGGTACTGTTGATCAGTTCCTACACTGATTATATACTGTACTGTTAGTCCTGGTAGTGTGAATGGAGGATACCAACTGATAAACATACAACAAGAATCTAACTGATATCCTGTGAAACTACTGACACTATCAGGTGGACCTGCCAATGATTAGAATTACAATAAATATGTGTTATACTGACCTTGTACGTATAAATACACTGGTGAGGTGATAACATTGCCTTGTTGGGCAGTGCAGGTAACTTCTGTACCATTTACTTCTCTTGTTGCTGTTATGTTGAGTGATGCCATTCCACCAGAGGATAAATCTGAACCATTAACTGATGGATAAGTCACAAAAGAGAGATGATAATGAGTCACATTAGTAGCACATTCAAATGTCACATTATCATTGACATATACATATTGTGTCACTGGTACAATAGTGAATATACTGCCTGAAACTATAAACAGTGTAAAAGAATAAAACTAAATTTGCTTACCATGAGTAATAAGGAAAAAAAGATTTATTAGAGAAAGTAATATTTTCTTCATAATAGTAGCTTCTGCTAGCTAAAAAAGTGATCCAAAAACTTCACTTGCTCTAGCTTATATAGTTAATACAAACTTCGTCTAATAATAAA